CATTCAAAGTCACTTCAATCTCTTTTCTTCCCCATTCTGATGCTCAGTATGAATCAGATCTTCTTGACCATGTCTACATGCCTAAATGCATTGAGTTGCTGCCAGGTGATTGGCTGATTAGAAATTTGCATTAACACACCTTTGGACAGGTGTGCCTAATAAAGTGGCCGGTAAGAGTATGCATGCCTTTAAAACATGTGCACGGGATAAACTTTAAACACTCTGTTATGGTTTAACTTTCTGTAATTAATCCACAAATTACATCTATTCCAAATCATGGCGCCTGATTAACTGGGATGCCTACTTGACATCGCACATCCTGACTGACAGGAAAGTACCTTTAGCTGCTTTCTAGGTAGACAGTTTACTGGGATTTAAACACTACCTCGGGTAAAGCCTTATAAAGAAGATGTGCATTATATTTAGCACGTTAAAACACACAGCAAAGGTAAGGAAAACCTAGTGTCTTTCGCATTTGTCTTCATTATTTCTGTCTGTAAGCAGAGGTTGAGGCTGTCATTGTACTTTTGCTCCATATTTTACTGTGCTATTTTTAGGTGTGTGGGTGGGCTGGCTCTCTTATAAAGAGTGTTGTTGCTTTAGTGTGTGTGTGTGCGTGCGTGTGTATGTGTGTGTGTGTACTTGATTTAAAATGGTTTGTGTTGAAACTGAAACGGTAATTAAAGTGTTTTGAACACAAACAGTGTTTGTGCACATTTTGTTTAATAGATTTGACTCTTTTGATCTCTTTCATGCTCCTTTCAGTGCGTTTTACTATTGTACTATTTGAAGGGTTTAATTATTAAAGTAAGAACCCTGGGTATCAAGACTTGTAGGCTCTAATATAATGCAAATGATGTTTCTTTATGAAATATGTTGAAAAAAACATGATAGATTTACATTGTTTAAAAACAAATCCACATCATTTTATACATACTTTTGGGTGCCGGCATTATTTTCAATGATGTCCAAGTTTTGCACATGCACTGCCGCTCTTTATGTATTTCTATTGTAAAGGCAGCACATCTGGGAGTTGTAACGATTCACCTGACTCACGATTCGATATGGTTCACGATACTAATCTCATGATTCACAATTTTGTCACCATTTTTAACAAAATGATTTGAAACAAATTTGAGGTGAACATTTTTTTCCCTTTTTCATCCCTTTAATTTTTTTCTTAAATGCTGCACATTTTTTATTTGCATAATACATTGTTTTTTTCTGCCATTACTAAATTGCTATTTTAAAAACAAGTCACATAAACTTGAACTGATTTTTGACCAAATTTTTAAATACATTTGACAAATCTAAGACCTCAAACATTTGACTGTACATACCAACACATTCATTATTATACATGTGTACACTAATAAACTCTGAATGTGTTTATAGTGAAAGTTAAATGTGTTCTATTCAGTGAGAGTTGTGTTTGGATGTTGGTCACTTGGTAAGTACATTGATGTCCCAGGACGTCAACGCTCAAAAGCCAATGACACACCCATGGTTTACCACACATTGGCTCTGACACAAGGAAAGCCCCAAGCTTGCAGAATCAAAGACCAAGTGACAACTGGAGTGTCTCTCCATTTTCTGGGTGTGTGTCAATGCTGTTAAGTCGAAAACCTCCATAGCTCTTTGTAACACTATAGTTTAAAAAGCGATTAGTTGCTTTAATTTATTAAGCGTGTAAACCCATTGCCTTAAATGCTACAAGTTGTTTTTTCTTTTAAAAAAAAGTCAGTAAACCCATTGACTTAACTTATGGAATTATGCACAGTTTGTTTACTTAACAGTTATAAGGCAACAAGTTTGCTCTCTTTTTTAAAGTAAAGTCAACTAATCCTTTTTACAGTAGACTCTTACCATCAACATTAGACTTTTAGGGCTCTATCATACACCCGGCGCAATGCGACACAAGGTGCGACTCAATTGTTGTTTGCTAGTTTCAGCTCGGCGGAAGAGTCATTTTGACATGTTGCACCATGCTGTTTAAAAAATGGCAAATGCATTTGCGCTCATATGTGCGCCCATAGGCGTTGTGGTCTAAAAAAGGAGGTGTGTTAAGGCGCATTGCTGGAACGTTGCTATTTTGAGGAAGTCTATTGAAGTTTATTCATGACAATTTGCTTTTGTGTAATGTTATTATTAGTAATAGTATTATTTATTATATGCGTATTTATATATGTTTTTATTAAAAACAATCTTAAAAACTGTTAATTTATTCGTTTACTGGAAATTAGAACTGAATTTAGAAATAGTTTTAAAAACAAATCTTTGCGCTTAACAAAAATTAATTATGTAAGGTAATGGATGTCTGTGCGTACAACACGTTTCCTTATCCACGGAAGAGAGTGAAAGTAAAAGTAAAGAATGAGGAGGCTCATTCTCTCAACACGCAACTCAAGACCCAAGGTACTACAACAGCAGAAACAATAAATGAAGAATTTATAACCTAAAAAGCCCCAAAAGTGGAAAAAAATAAGAAGAAAGAATATAAACTATTACATTGACATCAAAATAAGAGCAATGACCTAGAAAGCAACACTAAAAAAGTTTTAAAAGATTATCCAGAGATAATCTATCTATCTAAAAAGTAAGGAGTAAATAGGAAAACCATACCTTTAATATGCAAACAGGAAATATGTGCACAATATTCATGACAAAATAATTTTTGGAATCAAAAGACTACCATCAAAAGTGACCTCTTTTGCACTAAATAACAGGTTGAACTTGAGTCGTTTCTAAAATTTTGTGCTCTTTAATATCAAGCATCTTTCATTTCTTAGAGGTCTTTCTTTGATTTAGCATGTTCTATATTTCTCTTTCTCTCCAGGTGAATATCAGTGCCTATACTATTGCCTATAAATACTACATACAGTATAATATTCAGGTCTGGACTCTGTGGAGGCCATTTCATGACTGTCTGTGTTTCATCAGCTGTTTTTCTCTATGATTTCGTCAGATAATCAGTGTGTTTGGGATCATTGTCATGCTGGAAAATAAAACCATTACAAATTAGGCGCTTTCTAGTAGGAACTACATGATGAATTAAAACTTGTCTGAACTTTTTAGCATTTACAATCCTATCAATTCGGGCAGTATTAATAATAACAACTCTGGCAGGAACTCCAGTATTTTTCATTCATTCTTCAATCTCATCATTCTCTAACTATTTTTTTCATTTGTTTTAAACAATTAGACACAAAATAATCCAACTAATACTTGTATTGTTCTGGTCAAATACATTCACTAAAACAACACATGTAACTGGGGGCCTTAAAGGTGCAGTAGGTGATTGTCTTCAGAAACATTTATGTTGTGCTGGTTGAAAGTCTCTTCACAGTCCAATGGTAATGATTACAGTAAATGATCTAAATGTGTTTATATGTATTTTTATATTCTGGGTAAAGCATAAAACTAAAAAATGTTCATCCAATTAAATAGAGTCGCACCGACATCTCCCATTATTCCGATAAGCAGGTCAGACTGTCTGTCAGCATATGTAGATTCGGACTTCTGCGCATCTGTTCACGCAGATCTGCCATTAGGGCGTGCCTGTCTGCATCACAAACGCATGTGCGCGAACGAGCTGCGGGCCGCTCGCCGATGCTGAGTCGGAGCTGTGGCGCCGAAGGACAGACGAGCTCGGTCCGATTACTATAAAGTCAGGCGCGAGTATAATTCGCCCTTAAAGCGGCCGCGTTGTCACGAGACGGATCGGGAGAAATCTAATGCTGAATTGAAACTTTAAAAAACCTGAATCAATATTGGAGTTACTTTAGCACGCTGGAGGAAGGACGACACCATGGCTGATGTATTACTGTTAGACAGGTAATGTTGTTTTAAAACTTAGTCAGGCTAAGCTTATGTTAGATTGTGTTGTTATGAATGACTTGTATGCACAGACGTGTTGTTCAGCCACTGAAATCTCCCTGTGAAAGATTGATGTGGTTATTTTCAGTTTCATAAGGTCCTTTAACAGCATCTATAGAGTAGATTTATATTTAGTATATTTTTATAAAAAAACATCAGTAAATAGCGCTATTCCGCCAAACTGCTTTATTGAGCTGAAGTTGCTTTTATATTCACATTGGGTCATTTTTGAACAATGACAGTCTTCCTATACTGTTTACCATGCTACTCTGAATATTCGCTCTGAAATAGCATGTAAGTGTGGCAAAGTAATAAATGTAATTCCTGCACGGCGCTGGCACTAACTTAACTGGCGAATGACATGAACTAGTGGGTTGTCTATCTGCTGTTGTGACGCGGTGTGCGCGCGCTCGCGATTTCAGGGGGTGTGGCTTTGAATCACAGTCCCTCCCCACCGTCCAAAGATAATATGCTAAGCGGTTAGCATTTTGGCAGATCACCTACTGCACCTTTAAGTGGGTTGCACACCAGATGCGCCACTCAGAACAAGTATCGCACACCAGACCCGCACATTCGAATGTTATTTAGTTTAAAAGTATTCAGATGGCACGGATCTGTAGCACGGCAGAAATATAAACCGTGTCGTGAGTCATAACTAGGCACCGTAGATTCTAAAATGCATGGCGCTGCGTGGTACATTGAGCCGCGTCACATCGGCACATCCGATGTGCGACCACCTGAAGACTTTCGCACATTACTGTATATTCTGAAAGCCTGTTTGTTCTGCTTTCACCCATGAACATTGCTTGAGCACTAGACTTAGCCTGTTCCACAATTTCATTATTTCACTAAACTTTATTTTTTGGTCCTAAAAGCAATTATACAGCAGTGTGAGCAGTGTTTAAACGTTATTTGTGCAGCAAATCATGATGCAACACACACAGACTGCAGACACCCAGAGCCGGCATGAAATTGCAGAGTCACTGCAGCGCATCAATACTCATCAGAATACAACACTCACAGCCTGCCAGCTCCCTGACCTTGTGTTTTTGTGTGTGTGTTTGGGTGTGTATACATTCTCTTTCATGATAAAAACTAACATCTGTTATTTCTATCTCTTTTAGCCCAAACTAATGGCGAAGGATCTTCTAGACCTGGTGGCGTCCCATTTCAACCTGAAGGAGAAGGAATATTTTGGAATCTCTTATGTAGATGAGACGTACGTATACCCCATATTTGTCAACATTGGGATGTAAAAATATGCGATACCTTCCCTTCAAGAATGCCCAGATCTATAATGAAAGCGTTGGATTACTTACATACCTGTTTATGCTCATTTAAGACAAAATTAGTTGTGTTTTTAAAAAAACACACCACACTCACAAATAATGATTACTGCTGCTTGTTCAAACTATCTGTTTAAAATGAGCTGAAACCACACCGTTCTTTTAAGTTCTTTGGCCTATTTATTTGTTTTTTGTTCAGTCCACTTAAATTAGTAAACCATTAAGTTAACTTAATTATTTTTATTGACAATAAAAGTAATAGTAGGTGTTACGATGCGTTTTGGCTGAGAGCAAAGATAAGTTAATTAATTAATTAATATTTATATTTATATTTAATAAATTTATATTAATATTAATTAATGTAAACATGATTCTGCAAATTTGAATGATTGCTTGTCTTTATTTTATATAATGTATAAACTTATTGTGCGTTACTTTTAGAATGGCCATTATTGATCATTAAAACAGATATTAGGCAAAAGAGAGGGTATGTTTTGTATTTTCAATGAAAATAAAAAAGGAGGCAGTAATATTATAGGCTCCGTTTTATTATAAATATGCACACTTTAAATATGACAGTCATATAAATATGTAGCTACACGACGCCTTAACAATTTTGGTGTCTGTTAAGTTGCTAATATCAAAATGAAAATAGGCAGTTCCCTATATTATGTTTTCATTTTATTGTTAAAAAGGTGAAACAACGTAGCCAGGGTGATGTGAATCATAAAGTACGCTGTTCCCTTGAAAGATTTACCCGAGATGTCCTGGGGACTGGAGTTGGTTTTCAATGTAAAACTTGTGAAGTCTGAACTTACAAGGAGAGGATGCAAGTCTGAACTGTGTGTAGGCTACTTAATATAGACGATAAAGCCCCAATCTGATTTTCTGGCGAATTTCTGTAGCCCCGTCTCTGTTTTCCCCCATCCACACTAACACGGAGCAGCAGCGTTTTAAAATCAAAAAGACGTCTTCATCGTTTTCAAAATGCTCTGTTTTCGGGGCTCTTAAAACTCTGGTGTAGTGTGGCAAAACGTATGCGTTTTAAAACTAAAACGTATTAGTGTAAACTTGGCCTTAATGCAAATGAAGTGAATGCAGCCATTTGTATATTAAAGTCAACATGCTTTCAAGCCACAAAAAAGCGAAAGCATAATTCCCTTGAACAGCAATTATATCCCATTTGAGATTGGCTCTTTCATGTTACTTTCAACTTTCATTGAAAGATTACAAATAAGAAAGAACACTTAAACGGGACGATAACGATATAAAATACTGGAGAATCCCGACAACAACGGGCAGGTTGACAAGTATGTTTACTCAAAAAAAAACTGCAGTCAAACCTATGAGAAAAGACTCTGAGATCGAGGATAGCTCAGCTCTTTGAGTGTGTCAGGACTGTCGATGAGCGAACATGCTGTGATAATTCCACAGAGAGATGATTGGCTTCCTTCTTTCTTCCTCCTTCACTTTCTGTGACAGCCAGCTCTTCATTTAGTCCTACACAATGCCACCTACTGCTGTGCGACATTTGTTAGATGTATCTTTGACTGTTTTTTTTAACGCACTCACGGATCGGCTTGTGTTCTTATTGCTGGGGGAAATGTGTTATTTGCAGTTTCCAGAGATTTGGAAATGTTGTCTGGTGACCTTTGATCCACCTCGCTGTACATCCTTCTCAACAAGGGCTTGACAGTTTGCAGTCGCCAAGGACAACATGCAAATAGACAAATGCATTTCTGTCAGGAAAAAAAGTATGTGCAGTGTAAAGAGGCAAAATCATTTCCCTATACAAACATCATTTAAAACTCATTGCAAGGTTGCTTGTCAGTGATACAAGCATCAGTGTTAATATTGTTCCACCCAGAGTCCACATACCTTCCTGAAAACTAAATTTTACTGGCTGCATTTTTATTTTTTCTACAACATTTCCCGATAGACCCTTTTCACATTTCTGGGTTTTTCAGTGTTAGACATGGGCCGGTTTAAGATTCTGACGGTTCGATAACCTTGGAAAAAAATCTCACGGTTTCATGATATCACAGTTTTGTGATTACTGCTCTAAAATATGCTCTGGGTAAAAAACAACAACATTTTTTCCGCCATTGAACATGGCATATTTTATTTTAACAATTTGAAGGTTGTCACACAAGTTATTAATGTAGATAGAAAATAATATAGGCCCTAATACAGATCCCTGCGGCACTCCTTTGGGCACCTCTGAAGATAAAGAAGTCAAGCCGACCATATGGACACACTGTGTTCTGTTGGACAGATAATTAGCAAACCCAAGTGGTAGCTTGGTTTGACATTCCTATGCGTGTTAAAGAGTTCAATAAAAGTATGTGATCAACTGTGTCAAATGCCTTTGAAAGATCAAGATCATCATCAGAAGCAGAAATCATCATAGTTTGGTAAACTTCGAGCGCAGTGAATGGGAGAGAACAGCAAATATATTTTTTACAATCCTATTTGCTGAAATAATAAACAAAAAAACAACAAGACTTTCAGAAAAAGAAAAAAAAAATGTGTGAGACTGATAACTGCAGCCAGAGGAGAGAGTAACATCCAGTTTTCTCTCAGCCCCAGAGATGCTGCATTAGAAACACCTTGAATAAACGGTAATTCATTTTTATAATTTGATGCAAAGATGATGGAAAGATTTGTTTCTTTTAGTTTGGCTAGACTAAAAGCAGTTTACAATTTTTAAGCAATTTTAAGGTCAATATTATTAGCCTCCTTAAGAAATATAATATTATGTAATATATATATATATATATATATATATATATATATATATACATACATGCATACAAATGCTTGAAAGCAAAGACAGAAATAAAATGAAATTAAAAATTACATTTAGAAAGACCAGGGGGGGACCAGCTGCACCGTAAGAATTGTAAGTTATTTTTTTCAGTGGTAAAAGTGTCACCTGACTTATATTGACTGAAGGTATCTGAGCAGTTGACCATAATAATAATATACATTTTTTGGCAAAGTATAGACAAAAATTTGATACACTTTCTTTATTACAATCAAGACACAGTTTCACTGTACAATTCAGAAGGTATACCTTTGGGGACAAAGCAAAAGTCATTTCAATAATTTTTTTTTTAATAATTTTGTGAAGCTCTCTCCAGTACATTTTAATTTTGTCACAGTCCCAAAAAAGTGTACAATATTTTTAAATAAAATATATTATTATTTAAAGCCTTATATATATATATAACTTTTATATATATATATATATGTGTGTGTGTGTGTGTGTATGTACAAAAATGGGTATATACATATATTTATTTATTTTTAATGCATTACTAATTACTTGAAAAGATTATGTATTATGTATACGAATACAGTGAAATATCAAGGTTGTACTTTCCTGAGTGCTTTGTTTTTGTCATCATACACTAAATTATGCATGAAAATGCACACGCGATGACATCTTGCACATAAAAGAGTCCTCTTGTGGCTCATTTTTCACATGATGGTTTATGACACTCTGTGGCACTGTGAATGAGACATTGTAAGATGTTGCAAGACGCTTCCGGTCGCTGTTCCAGATGATATCAGTCATTTCTCTTGGGCTGTGTGTGTTTTAGGGGTCATTTCAGCTGGTTGCAGTTAGATCGCCGTGTTCTGGAACACGAGTTTCCCAAGAAATCTGGACCCGTTGTGCTATACTTCTGTGTAAGGTAAGTAAAAAAAAAACTGCAACAAAAAGCTGCCTTTGTAGATATCAAATAGGATATTAGAATGGGCCTATGAGTTGTCAGTAATGAAATATAAAAGAAATTTTAAAAAAGAAAATAATAATAGAATCAATAATAGAAATAATATTATAGGCGTATGCACACACATGAGCAATATCACACGAGTAGCAGTGCAATATGGCTGTTTATTGGCACTGGTGGAAGGCATGCGTTGGCACAAGGCCACAGGCTGAGTGCCTTAGTGCCCCACCAGTGACGATATACAGCCATATCACACTGCTACGAGTGTGATATTGCGTTTAAACAATCGTTTGACAGCATAATCATGTATATAACATAGAAAAATAAATGTGTAAAAAAAACCTTTTGCATGAGGAACTACTTTCTTCCTCCCTCATAAACATCTGCAGCTGACCGTCAGAAAAGCAGAAAGCATTGCTAATTCACAAGTGGCACTTTAGAGCTAGTATTTAAATGATTCTCTAGCGTAATATCTAAAGTAATGACAAAACAGGTGATTTTGCTCACATTTTAAGTTTATAAGGCTGAACGACATGAAATGCCATCAGTCTACAGATTTCCCAGTATTTCTCTGTTGCAATCGGGATTTCAAAATAATTAACCCTGAAAAGCCAAAGCAAAGCAAACACTAGCAGAAACACTACCAGATTACTATGGTATAACACTACAGCACTACAACATACAAAAGAGAGAGATTGACTTAGAAAGTCACTTACCTGTTTTATAATGATTTGATCCGCTGTAATTTATAATCAGTTTTTCTCCTCTAAGGGCTTATTATGCGGTCTCTGTCGCCATCTTGTGGCGGAACCACAACCGTCTTTGCTCCGCTTAGTATGACAGGCTCATATATTCCATTGAGCTGAATGTCTGAAATTGTAAATATTTAAAATAAGCACTATCCTTAATAAAAAAAATATCTAAACAACTGCATTCTCATCTAAAAAATCCTCAAAAGTACTTTGTTATCCAACAGCTGTAATATTTGTCAAACTGTGGTGAGTTTACCAATCTGTTGTCACTCTATGTGGGTGGAGTGATACAGAAGTGTGAAGAGGCTGGATGAGATCTCATATTGCAGAATATCACACGGCTATCAGCCTGTCAGATTCGAGATCCAGACAGAACTGTTGTATAAACATACATATAGTTGGGGGCAAAATTATTAGCAATAGTTATTCTCTTTCAAATATTTCTTAAATGTTGTTTCACAGATTCAGGAAATTTTCACAGTATTTCCTATAATAACTTTTTCTTCCGAAGAAAGTCTTGTTTTATTTCAGCTAGAATAAAAGCAGTTTTGAATTTTCTGAAAACTATGTTAAGGTCAGTATTATTATCCTCCATATACGTGAATATAGCAATATATGACATGATTTTTTAGATTGGCTACACAACAAACCAGCATTATACAATGACTTACCTAGTTACCCTAACTTGCCTAATTAACCTAGTTAAGCCTTTAAATGTCACTTTAATCTGAATACTAGTATCTTGAAATATATCTAGTAAAATAGTATTTACTGTCATCATGGCAAAGATAAAATAAATCAGTTATTAGAGATGAGTTATTAAAACTATTATGTTTAGAAATGTGCTGAAAATAATATTCTCTAATGTAGTATAGTATGTTTTGCTATATTATTAACATATTAATGGTCTTTTTATATTAATATTTGTTCATTTACTTTTCGGATTAGTCCCTTTATTAATCTGGGGTAGCCACAGCAGAACCGTCCTATATTAATAATAGCAGCAAAAAAATCCCAAGTTACTTATCAGAAATTCCCAGCTGCCTATTAAACAAAGGCAAACTTAACACATTAGCATCAGCACTTTTGAGTGTTTTTGTGTCGGGGGCTTTGTGTATGTGTTTGTTTATTGTTTCAAATTAGCAGGGTCAGTAAACCACAGCTTACTGGCATTTACCCGAAAACACAGCCAATCAGAGTCCACCGCTCCTCTCGTTAACACCCCCAGCAATTTGAGCTCCATGGCAACAGCGCGGCGTTAATCAAACAGTGTTTAAATTGCAGAGCATGAGCAGATTTCTGCTGGGAGGCTTGATTCCTTCCGATTTTTTAATTGCATCTGCTTCGAAATATGACCAGCGCAAAGAGCAGCCAGTGTATTATTGCTGTTAGTTTGTATGACTCTCGTGTATGTGAGAGTGTGTGAAAATTTAGTGTGCAAGTCTCAATCAGCACACACAGTCATACATCACCACGCGCTCGCTGTGGGTGGATGCTGGTTTATTGCTGTCAAGCTCTGCGCTAAAATAGCCCAGAATTTCAACCCATTTGTTGGGACACATTCAGATTGCTTTTCTCTCACTTTCTGCCTATTCCACTCGCATCACTTTGCTTTTCTGGGTCACACATAAAGACGTAAACGCACTCACAGGCGTTCATGCATTTAGCAGTAATAGCTGCATGTGGAGTTGTGTGCAAAAGTGCAATTTAAATAGGAGCAGATGCCCAGTTTTAATGCATGCATGATGTTCTGTGTACATCAGTGTGTATGTGTGTGTTATCCTTTCTGCCCGTGATTGGGTTATTGATTGAAGTCTTTGATGCGTGTAAGACTCTGCCTCACTCACATCTCAGATTAAACCAGCTGTCGATACAGTTTTAATCACTTTAATCTCTCTCACTTTCACTCATTTTCTCTCTCTCTCTCTCTCTCTCTCTCTGTGAAACACTTTCTTCACTGTCAGTCTGTGCAAAAATCACACTTAGAAGGGTTTTAATCACAGTTGTGAGGCAAAACTGAGTACATTCACATGGACACCAATACTATGATTTTAATGATTAAGACAATACCTTGATTAAGAGTGTAACATGTTTACAGAGATTTTAGATGACCTGAATCAGACTGAAGTCATAATTGAACTAGACAGAAATCAAATTAAGATGTGGAGTATTCCTATTTTATTAGCATTATTGAAGTGCAGTACAGACATGTAAACACTGCAAATAAATTATTACCGTCATGTAGGACTTACACACACGACTGTTTGACACTATTTCTATCTCTACCGGGTGAAACAGCCGAACTGCAGTTTAAGTAAAAAAAGAAAAAGAAAAATGAAAGACCTGAAATTACATGAAACTGTAAATGTGGATAGTGCGATGACACAATGACGGCAATTAAACTATGTGCTATAACATGTAAACGATCATTCAAAAAGCAACTTATATAAATACCTTTATCATATTATTGTCTTATTCAGAGAAAGGCAGGTAATTAGGAAGCAATATAGGGGGAAAGCCCCACCAATTAGTGACGATCTCTCCCTTCTTAACCTAGACAGCCCTAAGTGAGAAGCAGCCATGCCCCATAAGAGTTTTCGCACCATACCTACCGAAGATAATGTCAGTGACTATTAGGCTTTAAAAATGTAGATTTTTTGGATGCACAAATGGACACTGTCTTCGACTTTTTTTTTTATATATATAATTACCTTTTCGGGGTTTTCACCTTTGTTAGATAGGCTAGTAGAGAGAATTGACAGGAAAGCCTGGGGAGTAGAGAGAGGGGAAGGATTGGCATAAGACCGCGAGGTGGAGTTGAACTCGGTCCACTGAAAAGGACATGTGGTTTTCCTCCAGGTGCTCCGGTTTCCCCTAAAAGTCCAAAGACCTGCGCTATAAGTGAATTGGTTAAGCTAAATTGTCTGTAGTGTATGAGTGTGAATGGATGTTTCCCAGTCATAGGTTGCGGCTGGAAGGGCATCCTCTGCGTAAAAACATGCTTGGTAAGTTGGCGGTTCATTCCGCTGTGGTGACCCCTGATTAATAAGGAAACTAAGCGGAAAAGAAAATTAATAAATGGATGACATATATCAATTCAACTACCACCACCCCCTGCGGTCTCTTTAAATTGGCGTATCCAATAAATAGAATTTAACAGAAAAAACAGGAAAGAAAATTCACAAAAGTACAGTATCAAGAATGAGAGATCAATAGAACATAAGCCAATCATTCTGGGTCCTTATCGATGCTTTGTGCAATAAACAAGGAGATTTGGTCAGCAGCTACAGTCCAGATTTTCGCGAGAGCCTTCACAAGTTCACTCTAACTGTGGATAATTCCAACATTATAATGTCCCAGAGTTGTGCCAACAACTTGTACATGTCCAAGTTATGTAGAGAAAACCCATGCTGTGCTAATCTTTTTTTGTTGTTGTTGTTTTTTTTTTGTTGCAGATCTTAAGTTAGCCAGCTAGCCAAACAGCTTTTTTGTAACTTGGTAAAATTCAATGTAGAATCAACACTCAGTAATAATATTAAAGGTTTATCCTGTTTTGAATCTGAGGCATAGGTTTTTGCAGCTTCTTTTGAAAATAGTTCTGTGAGTAAAATCTCATTTTAATTTAAAGGGACAGTCACCAAAACGGATCAATTTGGATCAAAGCCTAAAAGGGGCAGTTTCACAGAGATAAAAATATTATTTGTGGGGAATTTTGATCTTCACATACACACTCAGAGACTTATTTTACGAATTGTAAAAGAGGCATGATAGCTCCCCTTTAAACAGCCAGCCATTGATTCAAAGTATGTGTCTTTGTGTATCGAGTACCATATAGGGTTCATTTTAAGTCCAGTGCATGGCTTATATACAGTATGTTTAAGGCTATCTGTACATATATGTGTTGACATGCATGTCTGTAATTGTTCATGTGTGAATTCCACGGCTTTAACAGAAAGGAAAAGCGCCTTGCTGAGAGCACTTGTTTATTTATGCTGATTTTGAGACGATTACTTATTTATGTGTTTGTTTGCAGTTGTACTTGCTGCTAACTCAAATCTGAGTGCCAAATGAAGCTTGTAAAATGGAAATTGTTTTCTTTTTGCGGCTTTTGACAGGGATATGACAGTAAGAGGATATTGGGAGTGTTTATAATGCCCTCTAGCGACTGCTTTATGAATCTGCATCCATAGTCTAGTGCAGATATGCCCAAACAAGGGCCAGCAGACCAAAGTTGGCCCCATGGTAACCTTTAATTTGACCCGCCACTTCAACAGAGCTTGTTATTTCTAGTTTTAGTGTAATTTTTTGGTTTGTTTAATTGTTGAGATACAAAAAAGCAAATTAAATTAAATGTTTCAATTAAATGTCTTCCATGAAGATGTGAGGATCCTTGATAAGCAAATCATCTGCATTCAATATATTCAGTGTTGAACACTACTGCGTTACGAATGGGACTGTTTTAATGTAAGAAGTTCATTATGAAATCTAATTACATAATTATTAATCAATCAAAGTATTTTTTCAATTTGTTTTCAAATATTTATAAATTAGGACATTACTGACTACTTTAATGTAATAGTTTGGTTTAACTTGTGTCTTTCAGTGAGCTCATTGAAACTGTGTAAATGGTTGATGAAGTGCAATTAGAATTGATTACTTGTACTGAAAACCTTTAAATCATATTCATAATAACCTGTGATTGGTTGTTTTAGTCAGTGAATTGGTTATATTATTTAAGTGACTACTTCTGTTTTTACTTTGCCATTGTGTTGATGTATACGTTTCCTCTTTTGCAGGTTCTACATTGAAAGCATCTCTTACCTTAAGGATAATGCCACAATCGAGCTGTTCTTCCTCAATGCAAAGTCTTGCATCTATAAGGTACGTGTTTATCACTGGTCTACCACTAGAGAGCAGTATTAGCTACTGCCCCTTTGCTTCCTTGAGGTCTGGATGCAGACTTGGTGCATTTGCAAGCTGAGTTGCCTTTTTATGCCCACACCTAACTCCAATCCTAACCGCAACCCTCACAGTGACGTCATCAGCACCGTTGAGTGCATGGTGTCTGACATTGCAAGTGTGAGATATGCAGTGTCAGCTTGCAAATCCAAGTCTGCATCCAGGTACTATTGCTTTGGTCCTAAAATTCCAAATAATTATACAAATAAAACAACAATTGATGTGTGCCAAAGAGATGTAATAAATTAATAAAAGCATATGAATGAGTGTAAATATAAGCATCGTCATATGTGTTAAGGATCATTTGTATAGTAAAATATTAGCTAACCGAGCTGATTTTATATCCAAACATTACTCCTAGACAAAGGCTTCTTGAAATAATTAGTTTATACATATTATTTATATTAAAACTATATATATATATATATATATATATATATATATATATATATATATATGTAAATATGTCAGTCATGATTTTGCCAAGCACGATGTGATCCTAGCTGGATTAACATCTATATTGATCCTGGACCATCATTTTTGTTGTAAAATGTGATCCATACCTATTCCCTACCCCTAAACCCAACCATATTTGTAAATTATTCCCAAAAGCAGAGGGCAAAAATAGTTGGATAACAATTGTGTAGAAGTGCATAACCCTAACCAAATGCCTAAACTTAACATAAACAGTAAATGTATCCCTTAATTCTGATTGGCTGATTGGAATGTTGTCCCAGGATCAACATAGATGTTTATCCAGGAAAAGGTCCAAATTAGTGAAATCAGCTTGGCGTACATGTAAATATGTAGTGGGTGAGTTGTGCAGCATGGTGCATTACTAATCATAACTAGTATTGTAACTTCTGTCCCCACATCAGGAAATGATTTCTGACTGATCATGTGACACTGATGAATAAAGCTAAAAATGCTTAAAAATAATGATGATAATAATAATAATAATAATAATAATAATAATATTATTATTATTATTATTTTTATAAAACAGATTTTTTGTATTTTAAAATATATTCATTGTATTTTAAAATGCATGAAAGGTGCAGTAGATGATTGTCTTCAGAAACATCTAGTGTCGTGCTGTTTGAAAGTCTCTTCACATTCCATTAGTAATGATTAAAGTAAATGATCTAAATTTTATTATATTTATTTTTATATTCTGCACAAGGCATAAAACTAAAAAATGTTTATCCAATTAAATATTGTCGGACCGACATTACGACAGGTATCTCAAACTGTCTGTCAACAGAATTTGAATTTCTGCGCAGCCTCTTTAAGCAGACAGATAAGACACTCGCACACACACGTAAAGCACAGAACTATTGCTGACAGAGAGATGTCATTAGGCAAACTCTGCATCAATCTGAAATTCTTTCTGAAAGACCAACATAGCCTTGTATGCATGAAAAGAAAGATTGTTTCTGAAAGGGCTTCTGCCAAAAGTGCAGAATCAAAACTTTTCTAAACCCTGAATTAATATCTGAGTTACTTTTGCATGCTAGAGGGTAATCACGTTATGCAACGATCAGAAGGGTGACACCACAGCTGTCCTGCGCTCACTGACTGCATCGTGTCCCCCATTTTACTAGGGGATTAGGATTCACACAGACCACATGTTAAGCGCCCCCTGCTGGCCTCGCAAACACCACTTCCAACAGCAACCTAGTTTTCCCATGTGGTCTCCCATCCAGGTACTGACCAGGCTCAGCCCTGCTTAGCTTCAGTGAGTAACTGGTCTTGGCCTACAGGGTGATATGGCAGTGGTCTACTCTGGGTTTACTCCCCTCATATCTCCAAACTTACATTTGTAAAAAAAACTGTCTCTATCTATAGCCTTCAGTTTCAGGAAGTTTATTTATTGTCTTTACCAGTGGTGCGTAACGTCAAACATAGTTGCAGTTTAAAGAGTTGGTTTCAACTCAGGCTCTTAAAAAGATTTAATATGATTTGGAGTTTGAAACATTGACCTGTAGATGTTCAGAATAGTTTTGAACTGTCATTGTATGTGTGTTTTGATGGATAAGTGATGTTACCTGTTATTTGTTTGTTTATTAAACCCATGCTTACTGTCTTATCTTTGCCAGGAGACTTTTGTAGAAGAGATTTCTAATCTTAATGTGCTTTTCCTGGTGAAATAAAGGTTATAATAATATTAATAATAATCAGAATTTCTGCTATTTCATTTTTTCATCTTCTTTTTATAGTTTCCTTTTTCTAAAAACATTTGATATTTTTGTATGGGTGTTTGACTGGTCACATACCACACATTCCCACCATGAGCTCATTGCTTACAATTTAATTTTTCGTGTGTGTGTGTGTGTGTGTGTGCGCGCGTGTGTGTGTGTGTGTGTGTGTGTGTGTGTGTGTGTGTCTGTCTGTCTGTCTGTCTGTCTGTGTGTGTGTGTGTGTGTGTGACATTCCTGAAATTCTTATACTCAGCAAAGCTAATGAATCGCTCCATTTGACTTGGTCATTAAAGAAAAACGGACCCCCTACACTTCAATAACCCCCTCACCTAAAACCCATGTGTGCTTATGTGGCTTTGTCCTCCTATTGATTACACAGGAAATAGCTGGAGTGACATAGATAGACCCTTCAGTGATAAGTCAGCAGATCAGCTCATTAAAAGACGAGAGAGATAAGATAAGGGACAGATTAATGAAGATGTCCTGTCTGCTGTGATCCCCAACCTCTTTATTTAATCATTTAATTATTTATTTTTTACAGGAGCTCATAGAAGTGGACAGCGAGGTGGTGTTTGAACTAGCATCCTACATCTTACAGGTAAAATCTATTAGCATTTCTGCCCACCTACAGTTGAAGAATGATTAGCCCTCCTGTATATTTTTTCCCCCAATTTCTGTTTATTGTAGAGAGGATTTTTTCAACACATTTCTAAACATAATAGTTTAAATAACTCATTTCTAATAACTGATTTTTTAAAATCTTTGCCATGATGACAGCACATAATATTTTACTAGATATTTTACTAGTATTCAGCTTAAAATGACATTTAAAGGTTAAAAAGACCCAGTGAAGGACTTACAAACTGCCAAGAAATGGATACGCAATGCATTTGTCAACAAATCAGGTGAATCCAGCATGTCTGAAGATCAACTGCTGGAGATCAAAAATGACGATATTGCGTCTTTTCCGCTCACAAGTCTGTTATTTCCAATCAAAGTCTCTTTAAGGGGAGTAATTTACTTGGCAGCCATCTTGTTGGGGCATTCTGTCTGAATGGGGAAACATCAAACTCTCCAAAACTGTTTGCCAAGCTTACGATTACAGTAAATACAGTATTTGGAATCACCAATAAAATTAAACAACATCTGTCTCATAAGTTTAGCTTCTAAACGTTCAAATCAAAATAGGCATATTTTCAGGTTACGTGAGCTAATGAGCATGCGCACCCGTAATGAACAAGATCACAACACCAACCTCATTAATGGCAGTGGTATACATTATCATCCTCTGGATAATGATCGTCTGGTCGCACTGGTCTTCTGAAGTAATTTACAACTCGTCTTGATGGCGATTCTCCTCCAGAAATGACAGCGACGCTTTGTTTACAAATTTGTTGGTGATTTATTAGTTGCTGCTGTCATGTGATGTGCGTTTGACAAGATGGACTGTACCCCGCCTTCATTTCATATTTCATGCAGATTACAAAAGTAAAAACCTACGTGTTGTTTTTTTTTTTATTTAAAAGCACAGAGTTCAAACTTTATATGGATGTTTTTTTATGTCTGTGAAGCAGGTATTCGCAGAGATTCCAGTTTGTTTGTTGATCACCAAACTGTCGTAAAAACAGTTAGTTTCCCCCAGAGAAAAGTCAGTCTATAAAGCTTGATGATTGGCTCCTGTACTAGTACACAGCAAAATCCTCTGGGTAAAATTTACTCAGTTTAGAAAGTATTTGGTCCCTCTTTGAATTTAGTTAATGTTACTTAGGTTAATGAAACATTGAAAGCATTGAGTAAGTGATGATTGAGGACTGATGATGAACACCTGTCGTTATTAAGCAGAAACACAGAAGAGAAACACAAAACTACAACTGACTTCACATGAAATCACAGCCTTAGATGAAATCAGCTGAAATATAATACACTGAATCTCTCAAAATCTCAGCAGAAGATCAACTGGATCAATAAGCAACTCCACAAATTACTAACGTTACTTACTATAAAGTAAGATAAAGTTTGCCTTACTATAAAGAGGGAAAAAATACTCTCTGAACTGAGTAGATTTTACTCATTGGATTATGCTGTGTAGACGGGGCTTCATTCACCATGTTGACACTTTTCCCTATTCAAAACTTTCTTGTGTATTTTATAGTCTTTGTCTAAACTTTTCAGAATGCCGCGAGTCGCGTAACAAGGATATGAATAAGAATATACAGTGCTCAGCATAATTGAGTACACCACATTTTGAAAATTAATATTTCTATCCATTTCTCAGTGAATATAGGCAATGTATTTTGGTGCATTTAAAACAAAACAGGTTTATTAAACAGATATATTTATTAAAATATTATTTTAGTCACAGAACATCTTTAGAAATTGAAAGATAATATAATTAAATTCAAGCAAAATATTGAAAAAAAAAAGTTTTTTGCTTCTTGATTTTTTATCTTTTTTAAAATTTGCATTTATATTTTTCTCTAACATATAAATTTGGGTGTACGTAAGTTTTTTTTTTAGATAAGCTCCAGATTTGGCCTTAGTATTGACTAATCTAATGTATATGCAAAAATATAATATATATAACTTCCTATTAAAAATATGAACTTAAAAGATAGATTTGTGAGGGGTGTTCTTATATATGCTGAGCACTGTACATATTCAGACAAACACAGAATGACCAAACACTGCAGTGCTTTTAAATTTTTTTAAAGATAAAACTTATTAAAGTTGCAGCAATAATTTTTTCATCATCTGAGAAAACGGTTGATGGTTGCCTAGCAATCTACATACACCAGCCACTTTGGGTGGTGGTAAAATTGTCAATCATTGACCGGTCCGCGGTGATAAAAAGGTTGGGGAAATAATAAATGATGGGCAAATTACCATCATTTATAATTTGTTGCGTGGCTGTTGAGATCCCGATCTTTTAATGTTGACCAGTCCGCATTGATAAAAAGGTTGGGGAAATTATAAATGATGGGCAAATTACCATCATTTATAATTTATGTTGCGTGGGTGTTGAGATCCCGATCTTTTAATGATTAATCATGCAGCTTACATTAATTGCATTAACCTGCATTACATTAATGCAGGTTAAACAAGTAGTAACAGAAGTCACCTTTAATAACCTGAGAAACCCACCACATCCCGAATAACCTACCACAACTTCTTCCAACATCATTATATTTTACAGGAAAGCCTAAATGCTTTCATACATGTGATCTGAATGTGCGAGAGGCAATCTGTCTGTGATCGTTACAAATTTAGGATTCATCTACAAGTAAAAAAAATTGTTAATTCGTGGGCCACATGTGTTTCGAATCATGGGTTGTGATCCAGATGGGTTGTGGTACAGATCCGTTACACCCATAGTTTTAAAAAAATAATTTAAACTATTTTTTATTCTAGCTGAAATAAAACAAATAAGATAATCTCCAGAAGAAAAAATATTATAGACAATACTGTGAAAAATTCCTTGCTCTGTTTAACATTATTTGGGTAATATTCAAAAAAGAAAAAAATTATAGGAGGGCTAATAAATTAGACATTAACTATACATAAACCTCGCATCGAACCCTCAGAAAGTCTCAAATACATGTGTGTAAAATATTACAAAGTCATATTGAGGTCACTACAGTATTTCAGCCTGACAGGGTGCTTTATTTAAAATCTAAAACAGGATGTTTCCTTTTGTTCTGAAAGTTAATCATACAGGGGAAATGCTTTAGAGGAATATGCTTTTCCTTTATGATGTGTAAGTGTGATCCAGGTGTAGTATCAGGTATGTTTATGTGTGTTTGACCTTTCGGAGGATTCGGTCCAGATGGCTGCGTCCGCATCCCCTACTGAGACACACATGTGCCGCTCTGTGTATCAGAGGATACGATCTCCTCAACTCTTTATTGATACTAAAATATGTCATTTTTTCTCTCCCACAGGAAGCTAAAGGAGACTTCACGAGGTAAGAGGCTGTTTGAATGAATGAATCACCTTCCATTGACCTCTTTCACACACACACATACACATGCACACACTATCAAATCTCTATCAGTGTGTCACTGCGGAGTGAAAGCAGATCCAATTTGTGGCATATTTCAAACTCTCCTTCCCACATAAGCACATGTGCACGATTTAAGAGAGAAAGAGAGAGAGAAAGAGAGATATGGGGGTGTGAACCCTGGGAACGGAGACAGAGGGGAGGAAATGGAATGCAGAGGATAAACAGTGTTAAATTACACACACTAACCTCTCGCTCTCTCTGTTACACACACACGCTTCTACGCATAGCTATCCTTCTAGCTTTATTCTGTCACTCGGCGTCTGATAGTTTTCTTCGACTCTATTTCCTCTATCTTTTACACTTCCTATCAACCTCCCCGGAGCACTAGCATACTGTTTCAGTTTTTGCAGTTTGCTGTATATAAAGAGTTTGTATGCTTGAAATGCTCTGATAATCTGGTGTACAACTCATAGTATGTAAATAACATATGTGGCCAGAGAATTGAGTTATTTTACGTCTCTATACTTGACTTATGATTTCATTTGAAGATGATAACTGTTTGAAGATAGTCATGTCATTTATTTATGCACTTATTATTTCAATTGCATTTTGCAACACATGATACTGGCAATGAAGTTGAGGATCCAAATGCAGTGTCTTTATTTACAAGAATAATCATTCAGGCAATGGTCAATCACAGGAGCAAACGGGTACATACAGGGCAATCCAAAAGAATAGTCGGGTTATAGGCGAAGAGATCGGTCCAGGCGGCTCACAGCATAAACAATACAGAAAGCGAGGGTCAGGAAACACGGCACAGATAGACAAAACAAGAAAATGCTTCATAATGCTACAGGTTAACAAGACTCAGCAAAGTGTATATGTGTGTGAGGTGAATATAAACTCCAGGTAATCAGTCCATGATGAGTTACCAGCTGTGTGTGTGTAATCAAGGGGAATCAGAAACTGGTGTGTGTGTGTGTGTGTGTGTGTGAGGTGCACGATGGTATTTGTAGTCCAGTTCAGTGACTGATGTGTAATTCTCCAGCGATCTGCAAGGATTAGATAGATGGTGATTGTGGCACATTTATTTATTTATTTAACAATAATAATTATTATTAATAACAACAATAAAACTAATGATAAATTTTAAGTGGTTTTACTAAAGTGGTTCACTCATTTTTTTCTTCTCTCTCAATGCTGAATTTATAATGATCGTTGAGTTGATCTTGTAATTAATATAGTATATATTAATAATTATATTAGTATTGTTTAGATATTCTAACGATTCATGAGACCATGGTGTTCAAAAGAAACTCCAGACGCACCTGATCTCTGTTACCCTGATGAAGGCAAGTGTTTGCCAAAAAGCATAGACAGAATTTTAAGGTACAGCCAGGTCAATATGGCTTTTTAATATTTGTTCCACATTTTTCAAGTGCCTTAAACTTACTTTTGTGGTTTACCAAGTCATTATAAAGAGAAATATGAATTAAAGATGCAGTAATAATTTATTTGTATTATATATTTTGTATTACATTTATTTATTATGTTTTTTTATATTATTTATTATTATTAATATGTCAAAGTGTTTTACATATCCACGATAAGCAGAAACATTTAAAGATTCACAATGATTTAAATTTTTTGTTATTTTTATTTCATTATGCTTAAAAAGATTTCTGTCATTTTGAATGTGCTTTATAATAAGTATTATAATATATACCGTTAATATTATAATAATTTTATTCTTTATGAATTAAATAAAATTTTCTTTGCAGTGTATACACCTTGATTCATTGAGTAATAACTAGAAGAATAGCACAATGTAGTAAACAGCTAAGTGTTTGCATTACAAAGAAAGTATCATTATTATTTCTTTATTGGGAGAGTACAAAAAATACATTGGATTATTAAAATGCTGAAGAAAAATGCCTTAGCTTATGCTAAGTTACATGAATTATAATACATTAAAAAGTAATGGCAAAAGTAGCTGAATACACTGTATTGTACAGCTAAATGTAACTGCAAGCAGATGCCACCAGTAGTCTGACACAGTTCAAGATTTACAAATGATAGCACCCGCAATCTTACATGCAAAATAAGAAGACATTTGCTATTCATTGATTAATAATGGCTGATATGTTTTTCCTAATTGTTTCTATTTCTAAGCATTTTTTGTGTTTTTTGCAGTAATGATGTTACTAGGGCTGATCTGAAGAAACTGCCAGCACTGCCTACACAAGCACTGAAGGAACACCCTTCTCTCGCATACTGGTGAGAAACACACACACACACACACACACACACACACACACAGCTGTCAGCTGATAATGGAGAGGTATTAACGAGAGGTTTCTGCTCTGTGGTCTCGCAGCACCATGGGAAAGGATTCCCTGGAATAATTCGCTAACCTAATTTACCTCGAATTACGTTTGATACGAATGAAGCATTTCACAGATGCTGCCATTCAGAAAAAAAACAACACTTACACATTCATACTGAGCAGACGGGTGTACTTTCTGTTCTCGGAGTGAACTTATCTGCTTGGTGGTGTTGTGTTTCATTGGCTACGTCTCTGTACATCTGTAAGCTTTCACACTTGTCTTTTTTTTCGGGTTCCTGTGGAATTGAAATAGGCTGACGGCCACGTTCTCATGAACATTGTCATCTGGTGCCTCTAATGTGTGTGTGTGTGTGTGTGTGTGTGTGTGTGTATTGTGTTGCAGTGAGGACCGGGTCATTGAGCACTATAAGAAGCTAAGTGGACAGTCCAGAGGCCAGGCTATCGTCAAGTAAGATAACAAAAACAAACTTTCACTAAAAGTTTGATTGCAAGAAAGTGTGTTTTTCAACTTAAAGGGCTTGTTCACTCAGCAAATTCTAGCATCATTCATTCTTAGTTTTTTTTCTGTAGAATACAAGAGATATTTTGAAGAATGTTTCAGCTGTCCATTTTATCAAAGTTAACGGAGACAGTCATAGCACTCGGTCACATGATATGCCAATTTGATGTTTTGGACTTCATTTAAGGGATAGTTCACCCCAAAAAAGAAAATTAACTCATTCTTGTGGTCTTAAAAACTTTGAGTTTCTTTCTTCTGTTGAACACAAATTTATTTTGAATATTGTAAGTCAATGGGTGTCAGCTATCAGCATTCCTAAGAATATCGTCTTTTGTGTTCAACAGAAGAAAGAAACTCAAATCCCTCAAAGAGTACTCAAAGAGTAAATGATGGCAGTTTTCATTTTTGAGAGAACTATCCCTTTACATTTCACACTGCAAAAAAGGCTTTTTTACTTTAAGTTTTTGTCTTGTTTCTAGTGTAAACATCTAAATCTCTTAAAACAAGAAGTCTTAAATACTGCCTTTTTTTGATAAATAATATTTCAAAATCAAGGGAGTTTTCCACCTTAAAACAAGCTAAATGATCTGCCAATGGGGTAAGCGAAATAATCAAAAAGAAAATAATATTTTAAATATCTTAACCTGTTGGCAGATCATTTAGCTTGTTTTATTGAAAAACTCATTTAATTTTGAGATATAATTTTTTTCCTTTATTTTGATGCCAAGTACAGATGTCATTATTTATACAGAAATTTTTATATACAGTTAAAGTCTGAATTATTAGCCCCCCTTAATTATTAGCACCCCTGAATTATTAGCCCCCCTTCTTATTTTTTTTCTTAGTTTCTGTTTAAAAGAGAGCAGATTTTTTCAACACATTTCTGAACATAAAAGTTTTAATAACTTGTTTCTAATAACTGATTTATTTTATCTTCGCCATGATGACAGTAAATAATATTTGACTAGATATTTTTCAAGATACTTCTATCCAGCTTAAAGTGACATTTAAAGGCTTAACTAGTTTAATTAGGGTAACTAGGCAGGTTAGGGTAATTAGACAAGTTATTGTATAACGATGGTTTGTTCTGTAGACTATCGGAAAAAAATCCCCAGTGATGGGTTGCAGCTGGAAGGGCATCCACTGCGTAAAACATATGCTGGATAAGTTGGTGGTTTATTCCGCTGTGGCTAAGCCGAAAAAGAAATGAATGAATGAACAGTGTCAGTATAACCTCTCTAGCCTGTATAATGTTATAATGCAAGAGGGAATCTGATAATGAAAAATGTCGGATTTTACCAGTGAATAAAATGGTCTAATAATGTTGTCAATGACTAATGACCAGCATATGTCTCAAACATAATAATTCTACTTCAGAATCATGAATAATTATATTCTGATGTAGTCACTTTACTGTGAATTATCAACCAGGACGCATTTAAAGTCATTCCAAGTCTATACAAAATGTAGCATTTTAACCAACTGTAGACCTGCACGTAGGCCTAATATTATTGTTGTTTTATCATATGTTTGAGTATAACAATAATAATAACCGACTCACATTAACCTTTCTTTTACATCTATAGAATCGTGAGAGAATCGTGATCTTGATTTTATGCAAAAAAAATTGTGATTCTCATTTTAGCCAGAATCTTGCAGCCCTGAAATCTAAATTGTTGAATACAAAAAAACCAAAGTGAAATGTTTGGCTTATTTCATTGCCTGATTCAATATCTAATACAATGACGTTAATGTGTAAAGTATCCAACCCAGGCTGATTCTGGAAACGTAGCCCCGCAGACGTTTCAGGAGACCGCGATTTACGTGGCCCTAGGTACGTATGGCCGCATTTCGTTTTTTTCCGAGCGAACACTACGGAACGGCTGGGCTGACGGCTCACGTCCGTGTGGAGGGCTTTCCCGCCGCAACCAGTTTGTCTGCTTAGCTTGTGGCGTTATGTCGGCGGAGCGGAGGCCCGGAGGAAGAGGAGCCGGCGGCGGCGACGACAGGGTTCGAGTCCAGGGAAGAGCGGTTCCAGAAATCAGGTAAGATGAAAAACAGAATCCAAAAAATATCCGAAATCCGAAAACGCGGTCACAATCGGACGAGGGCTTTTGCTTTTTTTTTTCCGGAAGGCTTTTGCAAATCGTCGCTTAGGTTTAGGGAAGGAGGAAGAGGAGGACGGCTGGGTTGCCCGCCCAGTCGATCGTTCGGTCATTTAGTCAGTCGGACAGTGGGTTGGACGGTCGCTCGACAGCGGTCTCCGGCGGCTTTTCACGAAAGGACAGCGCGGGCGCGAAAGGCGCGCTCCCAAGAGGCATTCGAGACGTGAAAAAAAAGTGCGCACAGCGGCCTCTCGAAAACAAAAACTGCACAAATACGTACCTCCCGGGACATATTTCGCAGTCTCCAGAAACGTCCGCGGGGCTACGCTTCCACAATGAGCCTGGGTTGAAAGTATCGTAGCATGCTTGTTTTTGTACGTTCAGTGTTGATGTTCTTTTATGTACTGTACATTCTCCCAGACTTCCGAGATCCACTCCCACATGTTTGCTTCTAATGTAAATTGTTTGCATGTGTAACATCCATAACACACTGTCAATGATTCCTTCTTTCTTCTCTCTCACAGCTATATGAGTATAGTGGAGTCCCTGCCCACATATGGAGTGCATTATTACGCTGTTAAGGTGGGTCATGGAGCTCGGAGGGGAAATTTATAAGCGCAGCCATCGGTACACACACACACATTCTCACGGCCTGCAGTATCGGCTCTTTCCCTAAGTGTTAAAGGATGCTTAAGACTCGGTGTGTTTTAGATAATCATGCTGTCATCAGCCATGAGCTGACACTTCTGCTTGTGTGTTCTTGTGTGTGTGTGTGTGTGTTTGTTTTTATATCTTATGGGGACTTATGCGTGCGTGCGTGTGTGTGTGTGTATTAATGCTTTTTTTCTCTCTATCTCTCTCTCAGGATAAGCAGGGTATCCCATGGTGGCTGGGCTTGAGTTATAAAGGCATTTTTCAATATGACTACCAGGACAAAGTCAAACCAAGAAAGGTAAGTCCCTCTTTCCTCTGTGGACTTGACACGGTTTGACTTTTGTTTGTGCTCTCTCTTCATCTTTATCATCCTGTAATGGTTTTAGCTTGCTGGTGGTAATTTGTAGTTCTTGGTTAGTGTAATTCATCTTGCATAATTTGTGCTCCAAACAGGAAGGATACCGTGACACTTTTCTATGCAGATACACTGATGTTTATTTGTCCAATGATAAAATTACACCGCAAAATGGGTCTTACTTAGAGTTTTGACTTGTTTCTAGTCCAAATATCTAAAAAGAATTAAGAAGCATTTTTTAGATCTATGAAGTAGATACTTGCTTAAAGCAAGAAAATAATCTGCCAATCGGGTAAGAAAAATGAACTTATTTCAAACCAAAAACAACATTATTTTGCTTACCCCACGGGCAGATTATTTTAACATAGGCTCATTCAGAAAACGTAGCCCTATTTACATTTCTGGAGATCACAAATTATGTAGCCAGAAGTACGTATGGTCTCATTTCATCTTTAAAACGAATGCTACAAGGTGGTATGAAGGCATTTCTTTTTGTGCCAGCAGTTGACTGCTCACCTCCGTATGGACGGCTTTTCCACTTACTAATTTGTCCAGTGGCTCGCCACGTATGTTGACGGACTTGAGACTCACTTGAGACTGTGACGACGGAGTTCGAGTCTGTCGAAGAACGGCTCGAGAAAGAGGATAAAATCAAAGCAAAGCCTAAAATAAACAAGTAAATAAAATAAACAATTTAAAATAAACAAGTAAATAACAGGGTGAGAATGTGGTAAAACCTGAAAATGTGGTGAAAATCAGGGGGCTATTCTTTTTTTGGATTGCTTTTCAAAACACTGTTGGTTGGGTTTAGGGAAAGGAGTGGGTGAGGAGTCCGGTCAGTAGGTCAGTCAGTCAGTCGACAGTGGCCTTTGGTGGAACAGTAGGCGCAAATGACACTTACAAGAGAAATTTGAGATCGAAAAAAGCATACACAGTGGCCTCCGGTGGATTCGCGAAAACAAAAACTGCATAATGTGTCCCTCCTGGGATGTATTTGACGCTCTCCAGAAATGTATATAGGAGTTTGATTTTAGAATGAGCCTGGGTTGGATAATTTTGCTTGTTTTAAGGAAAAACAAGTTAATTATTTTACTTATTACTTCTGAAAACTGAACAGTATTTTTATTTGTCAAGAAATTGCTCCTTCATTTAGGATTTTTTAAATATTTGGACTAAAAATAAGACAAAAACTCTGAGTAAGAAAATAATTTTTGCAGTGAACTCTTCATTTATTCATTATTTACTAAGGCAAGCATCCAAAATCATAGTCATGTCTCAAAATGTAGCTTATGACAGTGCTTTTTAAGAAAAGCTCTTTGTTTCTTGGTAAGAGAGAGAGAGAAAAATCCCACTTCTCTTTTAAAACTCGGTGCTTAGCAGAAATTCCAGTGGATGTAAGCAGTTTCCTTCTCTGCGTGTTTTGAAACTTAGTATGAGCTTCCTCCAGTCTGTGTTTGTTAGTATGTGTTCATCACCTGATCACCTTTGTTTAACCTCACAACGTCATCCTAGAGAAGTCTGACCGTCTGACACTTGGGTGTGGTGACCTCAGAAAGGTCATGACCTCTAGCGCTTTGACCCCTCGAGTGTTTTTGGTAACTTTAGACAGAGACTGTCAAACCTTCAGACAGACGGTCAGTGGCACCCAGTAAGTGTAATGCTACAAATCTTTTCAAATCGAAAAGAATCGCTTTCTGTGGGAATGACTCTACTTCAGGTGTGCGTCCCGCTGGCTTCAGCTTTCCATTCTCACAGCACACACCCGTGTTTAAATCCTCTCCAAAAGGACAAGCGAAAACTTCAGCCTGTGGTGAGCAACAGAGAAACCTTTCCCCAAAACCGCAAGCTAAAAATAGCGTTCAAAGCAAAAAAGTCCAGCCAAGCGAAAAGCCAAACTCAGGCCTATTTACAGAGGAGGATCTGTTACAGAAAACGAGAGTTGAAATGAATCGACGCAGCAGAGGGCAGCTCGGACTGGAAGGAAGAGAAACCAGCGAGCAGAACAGACGCGTCTGCAAAAACGCCACAGATGCAAACTAAACAAAATTATAATTCTACTTACATTTCCAGACAAACTGGGATAACAGATTATCCAAAAATGAAAATATTAACATTTACTGACACTTACGTTTTTCAAATTTATAATACTCTTTATATATTTTAAAGAACTGTTCATACAGCGCAAGGCAAAACAACATTGGACCCCACTGACTTGTATGGACAAAATATCCTATTCAAAACATTCATTAATTTTCCTTCGGCTTAGTCCCTGATTGGGGTCGCCACAGCAGAATGAACCGCCAATTATTCCAGCATATGTTTAACGCAGCAGATGCCCTTCCAGTTCCAACCCAGTACTGGAAAACACCCATACACTCAAATTCACACACACACTCATACACTACGATCAGTTTTTACCCAATTCACCTATAGCGCACCAGAAACTCCACACAGAAATGCCAACTGGCCCAGCCAGGACTCAAACTTTCTTGCTGTAAAGGCGACAGATCTAAGCTTATTGCTTTTTTTTCTTTTTTTTTTTATAAACACACACTGGACGGATGTGTGTGACCATTAAGCTTACTTCTTTTGAAGTGATGTGGATGTGAGCGTATGTTTTTTAGTTGCTGTGTCAAGTAGAAAGATCTTCAACTTTCACACACATTGTTATTATATCACGTTCATTGTATCACATCACGTGGACCTTGCCCAGTCCTAAAAACTGTGTCAAGTGTTTTTAGAAGCAAAGATGCATTTAGTGTGAATGAGCCCTGTGCATAATCATAACCCATAACGAAAATGTGAAAAAAGATTTGTTGAAATTGTTGCAAATGTATTACAAATAAAAAGTAATAAGTATTTACAGCCTTTTCCCTGAAGCTCTAAATTGAGCTCGGGTACATTCTGTTTCCACTGATCATTCTTGAGATTTTTAGCAGCGTAATTGGAGTTCACCTGTGGTAAATTCAGTGGATTGGACATGTTTTGAAAAGGCATACACCTGTCTATATAAGGTCCCAGTGTTGACAGTGCATGTTAAAGCACAAATCAAGCATGAAGACAAAGGAATTGTTTGTAGACCTCCGAGACAGGATTGTCTCTTAAGGCTGGGGAAGGTTACAGAAACATTTCTGCTGCACTGAAAGTTCCAATGAGCACAGTGGCATCCATCATCTGTAAGTGGAAGATGTTTGGAACCACCAGGACTTTTCCTAGAGCTGAGTGATCGGGGCAGAAGAGCCTTAGTCAGAGAGGTGATCAATAACCCGATGGTCACTCTATCTGAGCTCCAGCGTTCATCTGTGGAGAAAGGAGAACCTTACAGAAGGACAATTATCTGTGCAGCAATCCTGTGTGGCCTGTATGGTAGAGTGGACAGACGGAGGCCATTCTCTGCCTGGAATTTGCCAAAAGGCATGAGAAGGACTCTCAGTCCATAAGAAGCAAAATTCTCTAGTCTGATGCCAGGCACCGCTCATCACCAGGCTAATACCATCCCTACAGTGAAGCATAGTGGTGAATGACACATCTTGAATGAAAACCTGATTCAAAGTGCTCTTGACCTCTGACTGGGGCGACGGTTCATCTTCCAGCAGGACAATAACCCAAAGCACACCGCCAAAATATCAATGGAGTGGCTTCAAAACAACTGTGAATGTCCTTGAGTGGCCCAGCCAGAGCCCAGATCTACATCCTATTGAACATCTCTGGAGAGATCTGAAAATGGCTATACACCCTCGCTTCCCATCCAACCTGATAGAGCTTGTGGCATCATATTCAAAAAGACTTGAGGTGCATCAACAAAGTATTGAGCAAAGGCTGTGAATACTGATGTACATGTGATTTTTCAGGATTTTTTTATTTTTTAATAAATTTGCAACAATTTCAAAAAATAATTTTTCACATTGTCATTTTGGGGTATTGTGTGTCGAATTTTGAGGAAAAAAATGAATTTAATTCATTTTGGAATAAGGCTGTAACATAAGAAAATTTGGAAAAGGTGAAGCGCTGTGAATACTTATTGGATGCACTATAATACACTGCATTAGTTGTTTTTTAATATTTAGATGCAAAAATCATACATATTATTCTTTTAATTCTTAAACTCATTAAATCCCAGACTGCAACTTTCTCCTGATCTGCCTTTCAGACGGGTCATTGCCACTAACGCTCCCATTACACAGTTGGTCTCCATCACACATGCTTACACGTTTGTGTGTTTTGATGATAAGCTCACATACGCGAATGATTAGTGGCTGTACTCCATCTGTGGGAAGCGTGTGTGTGAGACTGCAGGACGATATACAGTAAAATATGCCACACACTAAAAGCTGCAGACTCGGTGAGTTAGCGGTTGGGTTTATTTAATGAGTTTCAAGCTAATTGAAACCGTCTCCTAATGAGAGACCACAATGCATCTGTGCCAAAGTGTGTGTGTGAAGGTGTAGCCAGTACGTTTGTGGTTTCATCATCGAGAGCTATTGTCCTCTACCTAAGCTCCCTCCAGCAAGCCTCTCTGACTCCAAAACCCGCAACAGGAAACCCAGCAGCAGACACCCGCAGGATTACTGTCGCCCTGACAACACACAACATGCTGGAAACATTAGTGTCTCTGACGAATCCGGGACCACTCCCCAAAAATCTGGCATGTGCGTAGCTCTTTCGCATTACTTCAGATCAGCTCATTACCTCTAGTTACTCTAAGATATGCCTTATTAAACCATATGAATGCCATTCTAAAGGCATTTCTACCCAGATTTAATGTTACAGCTATGAATCATGGGATTGCAGCCCTTGAGTCACCGATGATTGTCTTCCTCCTGTCTGCTGCCGGTGACCTTTGACCTCTACAATGCCCTGTCTTTTCTCATAAGCGCTCATTATAGCTCAGTCTAAGAAAAAAGCATGCCACACACACACACAGTCTTCCTGTACTCTTTGTG